CGAGGGCGCACCTGAGCCCCTGCTGTGTGAAAATTATAAAGCTGCACATTCATGGTTGACCATGACGTACATCTTTCAGCAGCGGCATTTTCCCTGAACTCCCGGTCATAGTTCAACCATGCACTACCACTAAACTGACGGTATGTACGCAAAATAAGAAGCTTATATTTCAGAAGATCATCTAGGCGGTTAGSAAAGTWCTTAGCAACTATCATTGAAAAGATGGTAAAKGCTTCGACCCACGAAGTGATGTCCGAGATTTGTTTTTTGTTCTTTTTTGGAGCATTGGATAATACAAGACGGCCGTCAAAATGAATTTGGGGCTCAGGTTCCTGGGCAGCAATGTTTTCGGGTAGCAGGTCCTCTAAATTAACGAACTTTCCGGCCACAATCTGCGAAACAACCTTGTACGGAACGGGGGAGTATCCCGGGCCAACCACAAAAGGCTGATTAAGAGCGGGGGTGTTTGCTAGAAAGGATCCCGACACCGAGTTGACTGGAGCCGAGAAAACAACTGAAGTGGGATTTGGAGGACTCACGGACCCAGCGATGGAGAACTGCGATACAAATGATGGTACACTCAAAGACGACATACCTGAAGATGGCTGTTGTACGTGGTTCCTAGCCGTGGCTGACGAAGACGACGACGAAACAACAGGCGTCCAGGGCAGAGAAGAGCCGACCTGAGCAAGCTGACTTGTGCGATTATCCAAAACCGATGAAGAAGCGACATTAAACCCAGTTGAAAGTCCAGGACCAGCCGACGACGTCGCAGCAACGCCAGCCGCTTGAAATGCGGCGTTCACCATCGAAGCAAGCGGCGCTTTCAGGGCCTCCACAACGGAGGCAACTAGCTCCGGTGATGGGGCCGCCGCCGGAGAACGTAAAGCCGAGACAGCCAATCCTTCCGAGCCTTGAGGAGCCGGGGACAACGAGCCAGCAGTAGTCGAAGCGGGCACCATGCTGTCCATACTATTCCTGGTGAGGCGAGGCATTGGACCGGAACGCAAATCAAAAGGACGTACAAAGGCCAACAAAAGCAACAATAGCAGTCCAAATAGCCAATAGCACTCCAATAGCACTCCACTCAAGTTAACTTTGCTTAAATATTAACCACATAAATAATAATAATTTACACATGAGTAGTTTTGTCAGGTCCACCAGCAATGGCAGACATCTTTTGTTCAACTTTCTCTCCTGGGAATGGTTGAAAACCATCAATCGTCCGTATACGTTGGGATTCCTGTGTAATGATGTCGTAGATTTGAGTGCACTACCCCACCCCAACTCAGTAGTCTGTTGCATACATGTACATCAAACACTTCCGGTAATTTGCACTTCCGCTAATACTTCCCRTTGGTTATACTTCCGTTACATCTAATTTATACTACCAAAGGGAATTCTACTAATCCATGTGGGATGTACTTTCAAATACTGCCCATTTTGTATAAATTATATTAATCAGCATTTCCTGCTTACAACTTGTTACATTGTTATTGTTTTCAGCGTCCGTACAGCTTCTCCTGATCGTACTTATGTCTCCAATCATGACTCGCTCGTTCAAGAGCGAGAACGGTCTGGTACCAAGAGTAGTGAAAGCATAGCAGAAGAGGTTGATGCTAGTGTTAGCGAGGGTAGCATTGCATCTGATTCCATCATCGCTAATAAATCAATCGAAGAAGCAGTGGATGATCGCAAAGACCAAACAAGTATGATACCCAGAATTCATTCCTACCGTCACAATTACCCCTCTATCTATATGACGTCACATCAGAATGTTCTGTTGTTGTAACGATAAGGAACGATAACGACCTCCGGTCTCGTGCTTGACTGATCTGCTCCCGAATTCTCCTAAACAAACGCCTCGATTTTCATAGCGCTATGAAGCCACGGAAAAAAAAAATGTTTTATTTCTTAATTGATGCTCATTGCTCGTTCTCCTGTCTCTCATTTCTATAAATACACAAAAAATTGATTGATTTATAACTCAAACTTACCGAAAACAGACTTTTCATTTTCTGATTGGCTGATTGGAATATTTCGCTCAAATGAGCAGCCGTTATTGGGGAGAGATGTAAGAGTTTGTAAGTCAAACTCCAATTGAGAAAGAACACTTTGTGCAAACCATTTTTCTCAGCGAATTTGTGATAGTAAAGTCTCAATTTSTGCTTGTACTGCATCTCGCCGTCATCATTGAGAACCATCAAAACAAAATAACGGATACATTCTCATTTATAATTTTTATTAGATCCCGAGTATTCAATGACGTTTGAGGAATCGATGGTGTCATCCCGTAACGTAACCGATGATGAAATGGATTATAGGTTGATTTTACCATCTGAAGGACACAGACGACGCAGCATCGGCAAGACACAACGTAGTGGAAGTGTTTGCTCTGATGCTGTTTCCTATTCCTCGGTATGATAATAATGTCAATGATAAATAGTAAACGCATAGAAAGAATGAGAGAAAGAAATATTGAACTCGAGGCTCGTTTACACTTGCGACTTTTGCAACGCATTGATCGCCACTTTGCTATCATGCAACTCAAATCGTACGTGTAAACAGCCCTGCGATTGTTGCGCCGATGGAAAATCGCCGCGAAATTGCAGCCAATTTTCAAGCATTGAAACACAGGCGATGGTCGCGCCGCAACGATCGCCGTGAGAATCGCTCAGTAAAAATTGCAAGTCGATTTGCAGATTGGAATCGCATTATCCGCGCTCCATGTAGAAACATACGACAGATCCATCCATCCAGATTTCCCACTCCTCACTGAAAGTCCCGCGTCGTCAATTAACGCAACTTATGCGACACATGGTTTATTTGTCTTTCTGTTCACAGGATGAAAACCTTGACAAGCACTCTGAGTCAGCACACGAGAAGGTAAATATGATGACAAATAGTGTATGTTTGCGATGATACACGAGACGTTAACGATGGATTGCATAGCTGTGGCTATTTGAGTTAACTGCAAAACATCGTCGATCCATGTAACAGGGTTCGTGCTACTCCTTGAAGTCCTTGAAAAGTCTTAGAATTGAAAACTCGTTTGAAAGGGCGCTTGAAAATTCTTTGAATATCATGAAAATCACTAAAACTCCTGTAAAACTCCTTGAAACTGATAAAATTGACATGTTGCTTGTTAGCTTTTGGATTGAATGTGGCTGTTTCTGAAAATCGCCACTATAAAAAGATATCTTAAAAACTACTCCTTGAAAATCTCATTTTTGTGCTTAAAAAGTACTTGAAAAGTCCTGGAATTTTGTAGTGAAATGTAGGACGAACTCTGATAACATAGGCCACCGGTTACAGAGATTGCTCAAGTAATACCATTTAAACCCGTTATTTTATGATAAYTTTCAGAACACTCCTTTCTCCGGCGAAGACTCTTTCAGTAAGTTCACCGCTGACATGGTGAAACTGATGAGGGAAGAAGAAGTTCGCGCCAAGCACTTGGAAGCTCTACTGCACCTGCGCGAAAAGGCTTTGAAAGAAAACACAAAGGCAGAGATGGAATGGCTCGAGTTACARAAGAAACAAATGCGAGACAAAGGCGCCGATGACGCAATGCCATTCATTAAAAAACGTCAGCGTGACGTYATCAAGCGACTGAAAACTGAGAAGGTAGGGGACTGGGTACGGGCGTATCAATACCAAAACAATTGGTATATTTGTTAAGCACTTCATTTCTTTTCGATAAAACCGATTAATTAGTCATCTTAATGGTTGTTATAAACRTGAATATAAATACAATCAAGTGTCGTTATAAGGAACCGCCATTTAGTGGCCAGTGTAACGCTCTGACGACTCGTTCCGTAGTATAAAAAGTAGCAGTTTGAAAGCAGTTTGAAAATATTATATTCAGTAATCTGTTGAGAGTGGTTATGATAATAGGTCTCTGCAATAATGTGGTATTGGCAATTAAACAATTTACCATATGAAACATCACGAYAATCTTCGCGCACTCAAAATTTGCAGTTATTGGGCTTCCTGTGTCTCTTATTRACGACACTTCACACTAGCMTTAWGGCACTCAAACCACGTTGGTTGTTTTCAACAGGCTGAGATCAAGTACCTCATGGCTGCTCACAGGGCTGCAMGRTACGATAGAAGGCTRATGATGATGAATCAAGAAGAAATTACTCGCCTTCGCCGCAGCACCCACAAAATACGCGGGAAAGTACGYGAGGAGGAAGGGTCACGTGACAAGGTWGGYCGAGAASMTATGATTTTGTTCTATTACATATATGACAATRATAYTGAAGCCAACGAAAAACGGCTTCTTCTTTCACAGRCAAAAAGCGACGTACAAGAAGACATAAGCAGTCCTCAAACTCGACGTTCAACCCCACTCTCGACTGGCCGACCACAAGACGAATCCCCATCGAAGTCCACAACTGTACCCGAAGAAATTTCCGCTATCGACTCGCCAACGGCTGACACTTCGTTTCCGACGTACGAAAACGAGTCGACGATTAGCGAAAGGGCTCGGAAGAGGTCGCTTTCCGAAGGTGAGAGCGACGATGGTRCAGCGAGCGGGTCTGCTACAAGGTCCAAAGGGTCACCGTCTACAAGTGATTCAATAGTGATGCAGCAACTTAAAAAGCTCAAGAGTCAATCAAGCGAAAGGTAAGAAAAGTGCGTTTAGTTTAGTGTTTGGGCTTCCTGTTCCCTTTCTTGGTCGTCTTCGTTGTACACAGGAAGCCCAATACTTTAGATGTCCGCTTTTGTCTTATTCAAACGTAATGTTGGAGATGTTGTATATAATCAAAARGCACTGTCCTGGGCCAGTGGCGACTACGTCCGGGCAGAGTACATCGGGATGCATTAGGGACAATGCAAAGCACTTCTAGGAATTACATATAGGGCATAAGCAATTTTTAGAATTATATAATTTCTATAATTAAAATTATAAAGTAAAGGAAGTCGAACTTATCAGTGACGTTCTCTACTCCCACGACTAAAGCTATTTTAACATCTGACAAATTCGTCATTTCTTTCTGTCCTCCTCCGCATCCCGCGTTTTATTTTCCTCATTTTGTTGAGACAAAAGCTCGTTTTCCATTAGGGAAGACAAAAAGCAACCTGGAGGCTAGATAATGTTTAATAAATTATTACTATTATTATTAGATATTGTCATTTTTCGACATTTTTAATTGTGATAACAAGAATCTCGACCACTTGTCATTTTGCCGTTTTATATAAGATCTCTAGTAAAGTGAGCGAACACATAAAAGTCGGTACAAATCTTTGCGTTTTTGTTATTCTTTATTTTTTTCCTTAGAAGTAGAACAGAAAGATGCATCTGTCATAACGCTATGGTCTAACAGCCCTCTTTGGCTGCGTTCACACGTCTCTTGAAACGATATCTTGAAACGGTATATTCTATTTTGCGCTTTACGAAAAAGATTATCATTTTATTTCCAAAAAATATCCAGAGATGGTCATTATTTTCAGTGTTTTGATAAAATACACGTAAGTGCACTTCACTATATAAGTCTTTAGTTTGCACGTGTTTATTGTTCTTTTCGTGGTGTTACATCTTTTTACACATTGAGGAGGTGAAGTCATCAAACCCGTGAAACGAAACTTGACTTTTAAATGGTCAAATAGACTGAATTCTTGAAAAATTCTAAAAACCCGTGAAATAGCTATTAGATATTAATAGTATTGGTCATTAGATTGACTTTCACGGGTGTAGAGCAGTTTTCAACAAAGAAAATGAAACAAAGTGTAAAAGACTGACCTTAGTTGATTAAATTGTAATACAACGTGAACAGTAAACGTAATTACAATACAGCTCGACGGTTTATGAAAAATACTCGCTATTGTCTCTCAGCTGGTTAGTGAAAAACAGAATCAAAAAAAGAAAGAGAGAAATTAGTATTTTTTTTCGGGGATATTGCTAGGAAAGCATATCTACACTCATTAGGCGTTTCAAACCTGATCTGTAAGTATGTTTATAGAATAGACTTTTTATTTCATCGTAGCCTCCCCCCACCCAGGCAACTCTTTTTTTCTCCTTTGGGCTTCCTTTGTAACGGTTATCTTGGCCGTTAGGGACTAGTGACTCCCAAAAAGACAGGAAGCCCGTGATTCTTTGTTATGCCTGCGGAAGGACGGAAGGAGGCTAATTTCAWCGAGTTAGTATTACAAAGGAAGTAATTTCCCACTCGTCAGAAGTTTTCTGTTCGTGTGGGTTAATTTAGCGTCAACGCGTGGGATTATCAAATTATTTCAGCAGGAACTTCCTTTCACTTGCAATGCATTAATCGTAAAATCGTAATTAGTACAAGTTCCACCATGCTGTCAAAATTTACAGACTTACGGCCCTTGTTTTTGTTAAACATATCCTTCCGAAAGAAATYTCTATACGTTTGATGAACAGACTTTGATGTGTCCATGATAACTTGTGGATATTATCTGGCTTTTAACTCGTGGATATTTATACCCCGACTCTCAATGACCGCAGTTTTAATTATATTGCCCACGTGGAAGTCGGTTTCCAAGGGCTATGCAAAGTGCTGTTAAAAATGCAAGCGATGAAGCGGTCACTTTTAAAACCCCATAAACTTATAGTTATTAGATGTATGGAATCATGTTGTCAAAAGAATCAATTTGTTTACAATTCAACATAAGTTAACAATATTTTTTTACATTTTTTTAAGTTTCTGGTCCAAAGAGCACAACAAATATGACGTAAATATATAATCATTACATAATTGRATCATTTATCATTTTCTTGGCTTTAAAATCATGTTTTTGTGTTTGATATTTTTCTCTCTAATTATTTTGAACGGCTTTTAGGTTGTTTATGGACTTAAAAATGTATATATTTTCGTTTTRGTGCTAAATTTTTGAAGTAGTTATTTTTGGTGGCTTAATCATTATTGAAGAGCGCCCGCTACGGGTGACTGTTTTAGCTGCTTGTCTCGACTTGTTCGTAGTTTGGACGCTTACATCAGGTCAAAAGTCCGTCCACTAAAATGTCGATAGCTTGGGAAACCTTTTGAATGCCGCATGAATTGACAACACGAAGCTCGGACCAATCAGCACAAGCCTCGGTACGTCAATCTCTGTTCTATATTCGGGACTTGTGTAAAGTCCGTCTTTATCCATTCCAATTTTCAAATGTCAACAAGTTTACACTTTGTTAGGTATTTTTTTGTATCATTGAAAGTAATTGTTTTACTAGCGGGATTTTTGTCTTTTCTGTGTGAGTGGTATTTTGTTTTGTGACAATTAAATTCTCTTAAACGTCCCGCTCGCTTAAGAAGTCATTACACACAGCTCTATATAAGCCTTATTATATTTCAATTCAAAAATTAAACAATACRTTCAAWAAWTTTTTWTAAGGACATCAGTTTGCTAWACTAGAKCTGCTTTGCTAGTGACGTTTTATTCACAAAACTCCAATAAATTCAAATAGAAAATAACAGAAAAACTGAACATATGATGGCCAGATATTCGGTATAATTTTCTAGTCTGTTTTTAGCACTTCCATCATGGTAAAGTCACGGCAATCATGAATATTTAACACCGATGTTTCGGGTCACGATTTGATGAAATTTTTGAATTTCAATTGTAAAATGTTTATCCTCGCTGGCCGAGATGGGATYTCTTCATATTTTTCAAGAAATCAATTAGACGAATGRTGAAATAATTGCCATCGAATTAGCAGTRATTTCAGATTCATGACTTCAAAAGARGACTCTTGATATTGTAAATATTGTTAGATCTGTATGGACCGAGGCAAAAAGATGTTTTGTTCTGTGATCGACTTTTTCTCAAGGTAAGCCGTGTTCAAATGTTTCAGATTAAGAAAATACCCGCAAATTGGTACAATTTCTGTAAGCTTAAAGTCGGATTCCTTATGTATATTCCTAAATGCTTATGAAATGTTTGGATTTGGACTTATTGATGCAGAAATTTTTTATTCGATTTAATTATTTTGACTTTCGCAGTTTTGACTGCATTTATGGAAATTTYCCAATTATGGTTATAACGTGAATATCTCGACGATTTTACAGTAGACTTATGCCCCACACCAAGTGAAGGTTTCAAAAAAAACTCGGATCAAGGTGGAAAATTTTTTTGGTGCTATCGTACCAATTATCTAACCATAAACCCCCAGAACGATTTTTTTGAAATAAATATACACCACCTCAAAKCGAAAATCGATGGATTCCTTAACTCAATTTGACTGATGTTGTGTAATTTTCGTCTTAATTTTGAGTACAATTTTGAGACGTATTGCCAAATTTACAGTTTCCATCTGGTGATTTTCAAATTATGYTTTAATAAACATTTTCTCAAGGTTTGTGTAATGTAGTCACTCGGTGAGATAATTTTGCCATTTCAAAATTCAATATTAAACTTTTGTTTTATTTATTTTTATTTTGTTAAATTTTTCGTGATCTTTTCAAGATTTACTTAAATTCTCATCTAATTTTGTACTCTGCGAGTGTAAAAAAATCCGCGTTGAATTATTGAAGCGATTGACTTACTGTCTGAGGCGTAATCTGCCAATAAAAATCGTTACTTCATACTTGTTTTGTTATTTTTATGTGTGGTTTAGCCACAAGTCAACCACAAAATATTCTTCTCTCTGTGTTGTGTGACTTTCGTAACGCAATTCCATCAACCGTGACATTAAATTCAATCTAACATTATGAAAATATAAAATTATAACGCCAATTTCATTATTTGTAATATTCATGCRAATACCCGTGTTTTTAAATGAAAATTCTTAATTTTAATTCTATGACGATGGAATAATTTTTTCGACTTAAACACGAACCGGAAGTGCACGCATTACCGGAAGTACGTGGCTAAATGTTATTGTTTGAAATTTGAATTTTGCTTTGAGAAATATTCAATCAACATTCAAAACAACCAAATGTAGTTTTTATAATGTTTCTGGCTGAATACTGAGGGTTTTCTTCGTATGACTCGGAGTGCAAGTTTTCTTCGAATTCAGTAGGTTCRTAAAGAGTAATTTTTGAGGGAGTTCAATGAAAATTATACCATAGTATTTTGTCAACGGACGTTCGCCTAACCACAAACTATTACACAAAGAGCCCTTATTTATGCTTTTCCTTCTTATGGTTGGATTTTAATGTGGATTTCTGGTRAGTTAAAAATGCAACGGTATATATCATTGCATCACGAGTTTAGCTAGTTTAATATTCGATACTATTAGCCACGTATTTCAGACTCTTTGTTTCTTAACATTGTTTATTTTTTATAAGTGTCACAGTCTTGCTTTTGTACTTGTTTCTTAGATTATTTTAAACATTTTTAATTAGTAATTTGTGTACAATTGTGTTAACTCGTTCTCAATTCATGATACTTTTGTTTTGAGTACAAAACACGAACTATCACTTCATTGTATTAAATAATGTTACAGTATTTATGAACAKTAGAAAACAATATACAATAACCAGTTATGTTGAAAGCACGTAGGGGGATCTTATTTGACAAAGAGAAGAATGTACATTCAGGGATAGTGTACTAACAACTTATAATTTGACAAATGCTTTCTAATGCTTTCTTTTCGAGTGTTTAGAGTGAACTCATGAAACCCGTGAAACAAAAGTTGCTTATTAAAGCGTGATAATCAAATAGACACAAATGAAAACGATGCAATCAAAACGTACTAAGGTGTACTTTGATGTAATATGTATTTCAGGTTTTTGTTATTTATTTTTTTTCTTTATACTTTAGTCTAAAACCATAAACGATTACACTTTGTTTCACGGCTTTAGAAAACCACTCTTAGACCATTTGTGCTCCTAGTAGGTAGTGATCSAAATTCTTTTGTTTTCTTTCCCCGGAGGATTCAAAATAAAAGAATTTGGCTGTACCACCTATAGGAATACCCTACTCTCATGTAAACAGAGCCTAAATTCACAGAAAGTTCTGTCTTTTCGCTCATCTTTGGAGAAGCAAGAAGTCAGATATTGATTATTGACTTTGCTGATAGTGAATTCATGATATGARAATTGTCGGTACCATCAGATGTGACTGGTACATGCAGGTTCAATTTTAATGAAATTTAGCATAACCGTAATCTTATCTTTATTCTTTTGCTTAAATATTATAATATTATCTCCAACTTATTTTCTTTTACTTTTCATTTAAGTGGCATTATTATGAACCTTTAACGTGTCATTTGCGTACCATTTATGTAGCATTTAGCGTACTGTTTACGTATCATTAACCGTATCATTTACGTATCATTTACTGTACTATTTAAGGATAATTTACCGTACCAATAACGTAACATATACCGTACCATTTACGGTACCATTTACGTATCATTCAGTTACCGTACCAATAACGTAACATTTACCGTACCATTTACGTGATCATTTACGGTACCATTTACGTATCATTTATTGCACGATTTACATATCATTTACGGTAACATTTACGTATCATTGAACGTACCATTTACGTATCATTACGTTAGTAGCATTTACCGTACCAATAACGTACCATTTACCGTACCATTTACGTATCATTTACTCTACCATTAACGTATTATTACTCGTACCATTTACGTATCATTCACCGTATCATTTACCATACCATTTACGTATCACTTGTGTACCAATACTTATAAACTACTTGTCATTCCATAGATATCTTACCCAGCGCGAACAAAAGTTGATGCGAAGGAAGCACGAGGGCGAAGACCTCTCGGATCGTAAACTCATCGAGTGGGAACGACGTCTCGACGAGGAAGATGACAAACGAAACGACAAAAATCGCGTCAAATCAAAACGAGCTGTCAAGGCCACTCAGAATAGATTAAAAGGTTTGTCATTTACAGTTTCCTCTCGATTATAGTTTGAGAAAGAATAGCACGTTTACTTTTCACCTTTCTTGCTTTTTTTTAATTGTATATTTTGCATTCGTTTTTAAGGCCGGTTTACACTTGCGATTTTTGCAGCGCGATTGTCGCGCAACAATCGTCTGAGTTACGAACATGCTTGAAATTTAGTTGCAAATTCACGGCTATTTCCGATCATCGCAACATTCGCAGGGCCATTTGCACGTACGATTTGAATTGCGCGATAGCAAAGTGGCGTTTATTTTCGCGAAAATCGTAAGTGTAAGCCTGCCTTTACAAGGTAACTATGAAAAAAKGAACATTATTTTGTACAATTTGTTTATAGAAAAAATCAAATTTGCATTATTTCAAATGTGTTTTTCTTTCCCTTGTCATTTTTTTTCTTTTTTTTTTCTCCTTTCATACCGTTGCTTCTTCTCCCTATTTCGTATTTCCAATCTTTCGTGTGGGTCCGCCAACCCTTTCGCTCCCTCCAATTTTCCCTTTGTTAAAATGACRCCGATGTGTATTTTTGCAGAAGAAGACCTGGCCGCTATGGCCCCTGGCAGATCAAGGGAAGGCTCCATCCCAGAGGTGGATTATATTTCCAAGGATTTCTCAGGTAATTTATAAGTGATGACCATTGTACAACAAGAGACATTTTTTTATCGTGAAAACGAAGGCTCTTCAGGTGTGCAAAGCAGGAGACCGTTGCGATCCCGTTGTTATCATACTGTAGCTTATCCGTCTTTAGTCCGGAGCCAATTCTCAAAAGTGGCAAAAAAGAGAAACGTAGCACACCCCTCACATATTTGGTCTGATACCATGAATCAAAAATAGGGWCCTTSTCGATCATTTTTAGACACGATGTACTAAATTATCAGTGGGCTTTCATTGTGTTTGGGACTGTTTTGTAAGTGACATTACGTACCCCTAAAATAATGCCCCATAAAGAGCCATTTTGAATAAATGAGGATATCAACCTGAAAAACCGATGAAATAAACTCAAACTTTTACAAAATGTCTYTTGTGAAACAACATTTTAWTTCACTACTTGAACTKACTCTTTAACTGGTTCAAAGTGACGGGAATCAAAAGTGACGAGCAAGCAAGGAAAAACTTTATTATAGAGTAGACGCAAATTTCGCTATTGAAAGAGGAAAAGCGGCAATATCGTCATCATCATCACTGTCATCATCATTTCGTTGACTGACAGAAACTTTGATTTTACAGAAGCGTCTGATCACAGCGATGTAGAGTCCCGTGTCCGTGAGCTGAGAGAACAGTTACAGCAGCGCGAACAGGAAGTGAGGCGACTTCA